GGGTTGGTCTAGAAGACCTCCAAGGTCCCTTCCAACTCTGTGATTCTGTTAAATCTATTCTGTTAAATTTCTGGTCTTTCCTGGTTATGACTAAACTGTTTTTGGTCTTAAAACGCAACTGGTTTTGAATAGCTGTTAGAAGATGCCACGTTTTGAACCAAAATCAAACATTTATCACGCAACATACAGTATTCTGGGATTATAGCATCATCCCTGACCAGGGAGGAGGAAGGTCAGTGAGGAATAAGCAGACTTTGTGGGTGGACAGTCAACCCAAAAATCACACTTAGCATCAAGTTGTGAGTCTTATTTAAAGGAAAGAAATAGATATAATCGGTAGTTCACAAAGTACTAAGGAAAACTTCTGGAACTTTCAGCTCAGGGGTATTCAAACCTGGCCCTTTTATGACTTGTGGACTTCAACTCCCAGAATTCCTCAGTCAGCCATTTTGATGAAACTGCGGGCTTGAATCCAGACCAAGGGCTTTCAAACTTGACCCTTTTATGACTTGTAAAAGGCATGCTGGCTGAGGAATTCTGGGAGTTGAAGTCCACAAGTCATACAAGGGCCCCTGCTTCAGCTACTAAGTTGTCATCTTTTGGTCTACCCTTTTCCTGGGTATGACTAAACTGATGTCAGCTGGAGAAAACCTAGGTAGAATTAACAAAATACATGCGTGTCGATGGGATTATAATAACGGGAGCATTATTCAGTACCAATTTATTTATTGAGCTGGGAATCTGGCTTTTGTATTTCTGTATAATGCAAGCTCTGTTGATTCGTTTGAATTATTTCCTTTCTCTCTGCATTCATCTTTCACTTATAAAGAAAGAATATCAGTGTGTTGCCATAGTGGAGTAGTTGAAAATGAGTTCATTTCTCTAAAAAATACTGTACATTCTGGTATTTAAAAAGTCCTATAGAAGAAATGTATTAAGAAATTTTCTTTATACCAGGTTTTCTCGTAGTGTTCGTATCCTTTCATAAACACCAAAAGAAAAAACAGAATAAGAGAATAACAGAGTTGGAAGGGACCTTAGAGGTCTTCTAGTCCAACCCCCTGCTCAAGCAGGAAACCCTGTACCGGGGGTCTTCAAACTTGGCCCTTTTATGACGTGTGGACGTCAACTCCCAGAATTCCTCAGCCAGGCGTGCCTGGCTGAGGAATTCTGGGAGTTGACGTCCACACGTCATAAAAGGGCCAAGTTTGAAGACCTCTGCCCTATACCATTTCAAAGAAATCTCTTAAAAACGTCCATTGATGAAGCACCCACAACTTCTGAAGGCAAGTCGTTCCACTGATTTAATTGTTTGAACTGTCAGGAAATTTCTCCTTAATTCTCTCCTGGATTAGTTTCCATCCATTGCTTCTTGTCTTGCCTTCAAGTGTTTTGGAGAATAGATTGACCCCCTTTTTGCTATTTGGAGTTGTGTTAAAATACTTTTTTTTTGGGGGGGGGGGGGAGATTGATGTCCAAAGAGGTTCTGGGTGCAAGAATTCAGTGTGTTTCTGTTTTTTTTCTTCTCCTCGGTGAATCCAAAATATATTTCAGTGCTTGACATGTCCAGATAAATCAATACTTTTCATACGAGGCTATAAAACCTATCAGCTGAACTATTTTAGTATTTGTGGTTTTCTCCATATGCTCCTATTTACTCAGGTATTGATTGCAATGGACAAATAATAATAATAATAATAATAATAATAATAATAATAATAATAATAATAATAATAATAATAATAGAGGATTGGAAAAAAATCCATCCACAGTAGTTCTATTATGAAGAAAATAGGACCTCAAATGACAATAGCTGTCTCAAGTTTAAGAAGAGCACATGAACGTATTAATGAAGGCTGACTTGTATGTCTCACCATACAAAGCCTGATCAACAATACCTTTAGTTGATTACTGTCTTGGGCAAGGCCAGCCTATTTGGTGAGTTCATCATAAGGTTGAATCTTGAGTTTATTCTGTGTAGGCCAGGCATATTTGCCATGCTTTGAGAATTGCATGTGAGAAGTTAGGAGTGCAATATTAGTGAGTTTAAGAATTCCAGTGGGGTCCAGTCAGAGGTAATGGCTACTGGAAGGTGGAAGGTTTGAGGGAGGAGAAACTTAATGGAAAGACAACACATGCAGGAGACCAGAATAAGTGATCACATTTACCGTTCAAGAGTTTCTTCCTTTGATTCCTGCTGTTGACATTTGCCAGCTTCAAGAGAACTGGGGATGATCAGATATTACATGAGACTCATTCCAAATTTAGTGAAAGCAAATGTGGCAGATATATTGTAGGTAGGTAGGTAGGTAGGTAGGTAGGTAGGTAGGTAGGTAGATAGATAGATAGATAGATAGATAGATAGAGAGATAGATAGAGAGATGATAGATGATAGATAAATAGATAGAGATAAATAGATAGATGATAGACAGACAGATGAATCATAGATAGATGATAGGTAGAGAGACAGAGAGATAGATATAGATTGATAGATAGATTGATACTAGATAGAAAGATATAGATGATAGATAGATAAATCATAGAATAGAGATAGATAGGTAGATAGATATAGTTAGTTAGATGATAAATAGATAGATAGATAGATAGATAGAGATAGATAGATAGATAAATAGATAGATATAGAAGGATATGGAGATGGATGAATGGATAGATAGATAGATAGATAGATAGATAGATAGATAGATAGATAGATAGATATAGATGGATATGGAGATGGAGATGGATGGATGGATGGATGGATAGATTAGACCAGTGGTTCTCAACCTGTGGGTCGGGACCCCATTTGGGGTTGAATGACCATTTCACGGGGGTCACCAAACCATGCTGTCCGCCATTTTTTCCCCTTTTCCCTAGCTGTCCTACTCCCTCTTATTAGTGGCCACACCCACTTGGGGGTCACCACAACATGGGGAACTGTATTATGGGGTCACGGCATTAGAAAGGTTGAGAATCACTGGATTAGACAGAGACAAACAGGAGAGAGAGAGAGAGAGAGAGAGAGAGAGAGAGAGAGAGAGAGAGAGAGAGAGAGAGAGAGAGAGATGATATGGATGGAGATGGATGTATGAACGGACAGGTAATCAGAGTCAGTCAACAAACAGATAGACTGATAGGGATATTGGGAGTGGAGATATGAAGGGATATACTCAAAGAAACGTGAGCGTTCATGGATTAGATAACTTTCTTAGTAGGCTCTAAGGAAAATTAATTTAAGTTTCAAAGCTGATTAGCCCAGCAGGGTCATCCATAAAGTGAAATAGAAGAGAAATTTAAAAAAAAAAACAACTCTTAAAATGGCGGCTCCAGCCATGGGATCAAAGCCCCAAGGAATCCTCAATCTGGTGGCTTGCTTCTCAAGGCCCCGCGATCCACTTCGAGAGCTTTGCCTCAAAGGATTATTGCATCTAAACTTGTTTCATCAAAGGTATCAAGGATAAAGGAGGTCGGGACAAATGCCCCAGTAGAAAAAGTACACATCTGGATAAAAGTGGATAAAATAAGCCGTGGAACCTTTGAACTTAAGCCTTCCTCATTCTTGTTGTCCTTGAATTATGTGTTAACAGCCCTGTTGAAAAAATGCAGGCCTTGAACGTGCCTTTGTCTCTATTTGTAAGTAAGAAAGCCTCTCAAGATGTACCTACATCCACAAAGGTCAAGAATATGATCACTTAGCCAATTTTCTCTCTTTTTCCTCCCATCTCAAAGTTCCTGGCCTTTGACACCACTGGTTGTGTACAGAAGCCCAAGACATTTGGGGAATATCAATTTGAAGAACAGGGCCGTTCATCCCTTTCTCAATCATGGGTAGTCCTTCTTAAAACAGTTCGCTTAGTGACCATTCGGAGGTACAACGGCACAGAAAAAAGGACCACTTTTCACGCTGCGATCGTTGCCGCATCTCCGCACTCACGTGATCAAAATTGGCTCGTATTTATGACGGTCGCAGCGTCCCGGATGTGTGTGTGTGTCTCTCATGTGATCCCCTTTTGCGACCGTCTGACCAGCGAAGTCAAGGGGGAGGGGAAGCTGGATTCACTTAACAACCGTGTAACTAACTTAACAGCTGCACTTAACAACGGGGGCAAGAAAAGTCGTAAAAAATGGGGCAAAATTCACTTAGTCGCTTAGCCTAGCTCAGCTGTGGTTGTTCAGTCAAGGACTACCTGTATTTCTTAAAAAAAAAAATATTTTATATTTTAAATCTTTGGTCCTATAGTATGCCTTGTTTTAACTGTGATGCTTCTGAATAAACAAACCTGTATTTATTATTATTATTTACATCCTGCCTTTTTAATTTTTTATAATAGCAATAGCAGTAGCACTTAGACATATACTGCTTCATGGTGCTTTACAGCCCTCTCTAAGTGGTTTACAGAGTCAGGATGTTGTCCCCCTCCCCCCAACGATCTGGGTCCTCATTTTACCGACCTCGGAAGGATGGAAGGCTGAGTCAACCTTGAGCCGGCCAGGATCGAACTGCTGGCATTTGGCAGAGTTAGCCTGCAATACTGCATTCTAACCTCTGAGCCTCCATGGCTCTTTCTCTTTTTCTTTCTCTCTCTCTCTCTCTCCATCTATAGCAATAGTACTTAGACTTATATATCGCTTCGTAGTGCTTTACAGCCCTCTCTAAGCAACTTACAGAGTCAGCCTATGACCCCTCAACAATCTGGGTCCTCATTTTACTGACCTCAGAAGGATGGAAGGCTGAGTCCACCTTGAGCCGGTCAGGATCAAATTGCTGGCAGTTGGCAGAGTTAGCCTGCAATACTGCATTCTGACCACTGCGCCACCATGGCTCTTATAAACAACATTGTCTTCCCTTGGTTTACTGTTGATGTAGCCACCTCTAACAAGATGCCTCTGACACCCGGATACCCACAATTCCTACAATCCCTATGGGACCCATAGGTTTAAGCCTGGTTTCTTAAGCTACAGAAAGTCCAAGCAATGATCATCTCAGCATCTCATAGACTCACCTTCTCTCTGTTGCTGTGGTATCATGGGAGGTGGCTGTGGGAAGGCTTGACCTATCTGACCATAGGCAGCAGGGTAAGCAGCTGGAAGGAGAAAGGAAGAAAAGAGGAGTTCAGAATCCTTGCAGAAACAACAGAGGAGCCTCATCATCTTCTCCACCAAGAATTCCATCTCACAGGTCAGAAAGAGCCTTTTGCAAGGACCTAAAGAAGAACCTAAAATTTAGGAAGCTAAACCTCTTCATGTTCAAGGGTGGAAGGAGGAGACAGAGCAGCTCTGAGGATCTAGAGAAGGTTCAGCGTCCACAATGGTGCTTTTTCCAAAAGGCAACTGGACTTTCTTGGTTTGAAAATGTTTTGCTTCTCATCCAAGAAGCTTCAAGCAGAATAGAGCTGGAAGGGACCTTGGAGGTCTTCTAGTCCAAGCCCCTGCTCAAGCAGGAAACCCATCTCAGACAAGTGACTGTCCAGTCTCTTCTTAAAAACCTCCAGTGATGGAGCACCCACAACTGCTGAAGGCAAGCCCTTCTACTGGTTAATTGCCCTCACTGTTAGGAAGTTTCTCCTTAATTCCAGGTTGCTTCTCTCCTGGATTTGTTTCCATCCATTGTTTCTTTTCTTGCCTTCAGATGTTTTGGAAAATGTCGAACCCCTCCACTTTGTGGCAGCCCCTCAAATACTGGAATACTGCTATCATGCCCCCCCTAATCCTTATTTTCTCTTGACTGGCCATAACCAAGTCCTGCAACCGTTCTTCATGTGTTTTTGCCTCCAGCCCCCTAATCATCTTAGTAGCTCTTCTCTGCACTTTTTCCAAAGTATCATCATTATCATCATCACCATCATTATCATCATTATTATTATTATGGATCATCGCACAGTCAGCCAAATGTTCAGACTGGATTTGGCATTTTGTTTACCTATCGAGTCTTTACCCAGGACCTGGGATAGGCAGATGTGGATGTTTGATGGTATTACAGATATCGTCGCAGGATGGAAGCAGTTCCTAGTAAGGCTGCCTTTTGCAATTGACTAATAGCGAATGTGTCAATGCCAATGGTGTTCAAGTGTTGTTGTTGTTGTTATTATTATTATTATTATTATGGATCATCGCACAGTCAGCCAGATGTTCAGACTGGATTTGGCATTTTGTCTACCTATCGAGTCCTTACCCAGGACCTGGGATAGGCAGATGTGGATATTTGATGGTATTACAGGTATCGTTGCAGGATGGAAGCAGTTCCTAGTACGGCTGCCTTTTGTAATTGACTAATAGCGAATTTTGCAATTGACTAATAGCGAATTTGTCATGCCAATGGTGTTCAAGTGGTGCTCCAGTTGTTTTGGGATTGCACCCAAGGCGCCTATGACTATTGGTACTACCTTGCTTGCTTTTGCCACAGTCTTTCTATTTCTATTTGTAGGTCTTTGTATTTTATTATTATTATTATTATTATTATTATTATTATTATTATTATTATTGCAATGTGACCAAAATTGGATGCAGTATTCCAGATGTGAATTTACTAAGATTTCATAAAAAATACTTTATACAGTATTAAATATTTATAAAGTACTAATATTTATAAAGTGCTAAGGATTTATAAAGCGGTACTTCTTCAGGAACTTCAGGAATTGAAGAAGCTTCTTAAATGAGAAGCGAAATGTTTTCAAAGGAAAAAAACCAAGAAAGCCCAGTTGCCTTTTGGAGAAAGCACTTCGGGGACAACCATGACCTAGAACAGGAGTAGGCCACCTTGGCTCTTTTATGACTCGTGGACTTCAACTCCCAGAATTCCTGAGCCAGCACGGCTCAACTTGGAAACCTCTCCCTTTCACCTCAGCATGGCTGGCTCAGGAATTCTGGGAATTGAAGTCCACGAGTCATAAAAGAGCCAAGGTTGCCTACCCCTGACCTAGAATGATTGAGAATTTCTCTACAGTAGATGTTCAGCTTCCATGTCTGTGCTTATCATCTACCTGAAATGGTCATTTGGAAGTGTGAACTTATTGCACCGACAGGTTTGGCGGATGGGGAAAAATGGGCGGTACCTGAATTATGAGGAGTCACATCTGCCAATTTCAACAATTTCAAGATGTAGACGATAGACCAGGATCTACTGAGACATCTCATGGTACTTTGGAGGAAAGAACAAGCTTCCAATGGTTTAACAATTAAAAACACAGGAGTAAAGTTCTGGTTTACAAGTAGTCTTCTTCTGAGACCTTCTCTCCTGGTCTAGCTACTGCATGGGACTTGCTAATGGTCTCCTATCCAAGTACACTCAAGATCATTCTTGGTCATCTGATTCAAAACCAGCCAAGAGGTTGGCTAGATGTTGCCACTCACATTGTTGCCAAGAAAACTCCATGGACATCTCCCTGAGGCCCCATGGAGATCAGCTTGATTCAAGAGTGTCCTTACCTTTTATCCTAAACATTGCCTGATACCTGTTCCTCAACAGGTTACATTAGCTTGAATTTTAGCATAATACATTCTTGTGAAAAGGTGTAGAATTGCAGATGGTACAATTTAAGGCAGTTTTCCCATATGACACCCACCCTCTAAATGTGGTTAGGCTGCAAAACATGGAATTTTAGTATGTGGAGATGGTGATGATGGCGATGAAGAAGAAGAAGATGATGGAATTAGCCAATCATAACATATTTGGGGCATGTCTTAAATTGATTTAGCTTAATTTAGCTCTTCTACCTTACCAAAATAAGAAGACAACCAATGTAGTCTGTAGGTTTAGACCAGGGGTGTCAAACTGCCGGCCCACGGGCCAGATGCGTCATGCCGAAACCGCACCCATCCCATTGCCAGCAACGGGAAAAAAAGTCACGATATGTCGCAACACATCACGTGATGTTGTGAGTTTGACACCCCTGGCTTAGACTTTTCCAAGTTGGTGCCCTGCAGAGATCTTACATGAACAATGTTCTTATTCCCAAACAAGGTGCCTACAACTCTCATCACTCAGAACAACAGAATAACAGAGTTGGAAGGGACCTTGGAGGTCTTCTAGTTCAACCCTTGCTCAAGCAAGAAACCCTACACCAGTCCAGACAAAATGGTTGTCCAATCTCTTCTTGGAAACCTCCAGTAATGGAGCATCCACAATTTCTGGACGCAAGTCGTTCCAGTGATGTAATTGTTCTCACTGTCAGGCAATTCCTCCTTAGTTCTTAGGCTGGTTCTCTCCATTGCTTCATCGCCTGCCCTCAGGTGCTTTGGAGAATAGATGGACCCCCTCTTCTTTGTGGCAGCCCCTCAGAGATTGGAATGCTATTATCATGTCCCTGCTAGTCCTTCTTTTCATTAAACAACCCCCTACTTAAGCAGGAGTCCCTATACCATTTCAGACAAATGGCTGTCCAGTCTCTTCTTAAAAACTTCCAGCGATGGAGCATCCACAACTTCTAGAAACAAATCATTCCACTGGTTGACTGTTCTAACTGTTAGGAAATGTCTCCTTAATTCTGGGTTGGTTCCCTCTTAGTGTCGTGATTCCGTGCCAGCCTGTGTTCTCAACAGCTGAGTCTGGGGAATCTGAGGAGGAGGTGGAGGAGGCATTTGAAGGGCCATCAGGGTCAGAGAGAGGCTCTGATGAATTACAAGACTCAGGGTCTGATGAAGAGCCTGGCCCCTCCAGTCGTGTTATGGATGAAGCTCAACTGTGTGGGGAGAATGAGTCAGACTTGAAGGATTCACACCTGATGGACATGATGATTGATGCTCGTAGACGCCGACAATTAGTGAGAGCAGATTAGCAGCAGTCAATACGACAACTCCAGGGGAAGAGGAGAAGGCACTGAGAGGCAACACCTTGAGACTGCTGTATAAAAAGGGAAGGCGTGGGCGGTGCTGGTTGCTGAAGGCAATCGTTGCAAAGTACTTCATGGGATCATGTTCTGTTAGTATTGCGGGTGACTACTTTTCTCTTTGCATTGCATTTCATGTGGACAATTTCCTCCATTTGGATTGTGTTTTGCTGCTTTTGTTCCTGGACTATTTGGCTGGTTGGTTACCCATATTAAAAGGGGTTTGTTTTGTTTTGAGTCTCCAGCCTATTTTCTCAACAGGGGTTTGGTTCTTGTGCCTTTAACAAGGACAGCCATAGGCTGGGATAGAACACCTTGATTAGTTTCCATCCGTTGCTTCTTGCCTTTCCCTTAGATGCTTTGAAGCACAGGTCAGTTCCCTCCTCTCTGTGACAGCCCCTCAGATATTGGAAGATGCTATCAAGTCATCCCTAACCCTTCTCTTTGTTAGATTAGACATATCCAATTCCATCAAGCGTTCTTCATATATTTTAGCCTCCAGTCCCCTGATCATCTTTGTTGCTCTTCTCTGGACTCTGTCTAGAGCAATGTTTCTCAATCTTGACAATTTTAAGGCATGTGGACTTCAACTCCCAGAATTCCACAGCCAGCATTGCTGGCTGTGGAATTCTGGGAGTTGAAGTCCACATGCCTTAAAATTGTCAAGGTTGAGAAACACTGTTCTAACCAATTGAGACCCGGCCGATTCATCTGGATTGCCCCAAGTTCTAGAAAGCTAGATTAAATCTCAAGGCCTCAAGTGATCTGAATAACAGGCCTCAGTATGACCAACAGCATGTGGTAAGGTTCCTTTGATCATAGGGGTCTCACCAGGAGCAGGAAAGATGCAAGTGTTTGCATACTTGGACCTAATTAAGAGCTGCAGCCTGTAGAGTCTAACATCTCAACACGACCCATCTGTCAAGCTGGACGTGCAATTAGGAATGGAAATTAGACATCGACCAATGAAGGTTTTGAAATGTACATCTCCGGATCCAAAAAAAAAAACCAGTTTAAAAAAAAAGAGCCTGCCCAGCAAGAAGTAATGACTGTCCTTTGCACCACAGGAAGCAAAATTAATTGGTTGGAGCAACAAGCTGGACTTGTTAAGTGTAAAAGGATGGTAAACCTCTGCTCGGAATATCTTCTGCAATCTCCTCGTGAAATTGTAGCAGGTCCTAAATGCAAAAGAGAATGGTCCTGTTGAAGGCAAGGGCAACCCTGAGTTGAATGGAACTCTTGGTTCCTACATCCATGCACAATTTCTTAGCACAATTATGGGACCTATTTGTTTAAGAAAATTTATATCGCCCGCCAACTCAATCTCAGCGGTTCCGGATAATAATCCCAGATTCCCCCTGTGACAACACTCAAATGATAAGGATAGGGATAAAAAAGGTCCCATTCAGAATAGAACTGGAAGGGACCTTGGAGGTCTTCTAGTCCAACCCCCTGCTCAAGCAGGAGACTCTATACTATTCCAGTCATTCACTTCTTAAAAACCTCCAGTGATGGAGCACCCACAACTTCTGGAGGCAAGCTGTTCCACCGGTTAATTGTCCTCACTGTCAGGAAGTGTCTTCTTAATTCCAGGTTGCTTCTCTCCTTGACCAGTTTCAATCCATCGTTTCTTCTCTTGCCTTCTGGTGTTTTAGAAATAAGCCATTTGATGGGTTCCATCCCAGTCTGGGGTCCCCAAACCCATTGGAAAACCAGGTCCTCAAGACTTCTTAAAAGAGTGTCAAGGTTGGGGCCAATCTTATTTCCATAGGAATGATGCTCCACTGGGAGGGACTCACCACAGAGAAAGCCCTTATTCTGGGTCCTGCTAGATGGACCTCCTTATGAGATGGACCTGTAGCATCCCCTGCCTCTCCACTCCAGTGGGTAAAGTAGATGTGAGTGGGACGAGGTGGTCCTTCAAATATTTGTCCTTTCTTTCTTCTTGGATGCATTTTGATTGTCAAATGGACGCCAAAGCTTGGAATTTTTAGCTCAGTTTTGCTCTCTGTTTATATATTGTTTACTACAATGCCTCAATCACGGAACTACCAACTCAGACAAACAATCAGTAAACCACAGCCTAATCAAGGAACCATCAAGACCTCTCCCACCAATGCTGGCAGGACAAGCCACTGTATATAAACAGAGACCAAATCCCACTTCCTACCAGCACTGATGATGTTACCTAGTTGGGTCATGAAACGTCTGCAAGAAAACAACCCAGCCCAGAGAGCACCAAGGACCCCACAGTCCTCCTCCATCTCCTCCTCCTCCTCCTCCTCCTCCACCACCACCACCACCATCACCACCACCACCTCCACCACAACCACTACCACAACCACCTTCACCTCCTCCTTTCTTCTAGCACTGATGATGTTACCTACTTGGCTAATAAAATGTCTGCAAGAAAACAACCAGGCTTGGAGAGCACCAAGGACCCCACAGTTCAATCCTGAGTACAAATATTCTCTTCTAATCAAACCACTTATATATAAAGAAAGATCAAACCCCGCTCCCTACCAGCACTGAGGATGTTACCTAGTTGGGTCATGAAACGTCTGCAAGAAAATAATCAAGCTCAGAGAGCACCAACAACCCCGCAGTTCAAAGATGAGTATAAATATTCTCTTCTCGTGAAACCGCTTTGCATATCAGCAGACATCAAACCCTTCTTCCTTCTAGCACTGATGAGGTTAGCTAGGTGGGTCATGAAAAGTCTGCAAGAAAACAACCAAGTTCAGACAGCACCAAGGACTCCACAGTCCTCCTCCTTCTCCTCCTCCTCCTCCTCCTCTTTCCCACAAACTCCACTCCCTTCTAGCACTGATGATGTTACCTAGTTGGGTCATGAAACATCTGCAAGAAAACCACCAAGCTCAGAGAGCACCAAGGACCCCTCATTTCAACCCTGAGCTGCAAAGATTCTCCTTTATTGGTAAACCTAAGGAATAACAGAATGCCTCTTAAGACAACTTCCTAGCACAGATGTTGCTCCTTGCCCTGCTCAGATAGAATGGACACACAGATGAGATGAACCATGAATGTGACTTTTTTAAGCCTCGCCCCCCCCCCAAAGTGAAAGTGAAAGAGTTATTGGGGGAAAGTGTTAATACTAACGACCTGCGTATTGCTGTACTCCAGCGTATGCTTGTTGCAAAGGGTCAGCCGTGGTTGGGCTTTGTGCTGCGAAGACACAAGAGAGAAAAGAAAGAGGAGGTTGAAAGACATGCCTGTATCCCTGGGAAAGACAACATAACACATCTGGCAATATCAGAATAACAGAATGACAGATTTGGAAGGGATCTTGGAGGTCATCTAGTCCAACCCCCTGCTCAGGTAGGAAACCCTATACCATTTCAGACAAATCGTTGTTCAATCTCTTCTTAAAAGCCTCCTGTGATGGAGCACCCACAACTTCTGGAGGCAAATTGTTCCACTGGTTAATTGTTCTCACTATCAAGAAATTTCTCCTTAGTTCTAGGTTGCTTCTCTCCTTGATTAGTTTCCATCCGTTGCTTCTTGTTCTGCCTTCAGTTGCTTTGGAGAATAACTTGACCCCCTCTTTTTTATGGCAACTCCTGAGATATTGAAGCACTGCTATCATATCACCCCTGGTCCTTCTCTTCATTAAACTAGACATACCCAGATTCCTGCAACTGTTCTTCATATGTTTTAGCCTCCAGTCCCCTGTTCATCTTTGTTGCTCTTTTCTGCAACGAAGAGTCTCAACATGACCAAAACTGGATGCGACATTCCAAGTGTGGTCTTACTAAGGCCTTGTAAAGCAGTATTAATATTTCATGTGATCTTGATTCTATCCCTCTGTTAATGCAGCCTAGGACTACACTGGTTTTTTGGGGGGGGAGGCTGTAGCACACTGCTGGCTCATATTTAACTGCCTAGAACTTTTTACATTTATACACACATTTTAGGAAAGGTGCTTGTTAGTTTCATTTATTAGATTTGTGGGTCTCCCATCTTGTTTAGAGTTGACTCTAGTGGCGATGTACAAATATAACGAGAAAAAGAAGTAAGAAAACTAGAGGAAAAGCAAGCTATTAATAAAGGGCAGGTTTTTCAAGCGTTGTAGGTTTGACAAGAAATAATTCTGAAATGACATTGATGTAAGTCTACCTATTAAAATATCACACATCAGTCTGAAAGTTAAAAAAAAATACGTTGAAATAAATCAGCGTTAAAGTAACATTACGGCACAGTAATTGGCAATTTTAAACCAGCATGATTTGAATGACAAATCGTACATTACAATAAGTTCTATCTGATTTGAAAAATCTACATGTTTTAATGTTACCTTAGGAGAAACCCTGACTTAGGATGCAGCATGCAAAATGATAACAAAAAAAAAAAAAAAAGGTTTCCACATCGAGTTAAAATCTCCATCACATTTTAAAATATGCAGCTCATTTTGACGATGATGCATAAGCTCGTAACTTAATTTGCTCTTCTTTCAGGAAAGAAATGATTTGTGCTTTTCCATAAGAAACCTAGAAAATGCTTGCAGCTGCTTATCCTGTCAAAAGCCAGCTCAGTACATTCAATAAAAATATAAAGTTCAGTAATATTCAGTAAAAAGATAACGGGCTAGCAAAAATTCTACCTTTAATTCCAGGTTGCTTCTCTCCTTGATTTCTCAGCTTAGAGCTTGGCAATTGTCTACTGCAAACTGCAACTGCCAGGGCTGCATTACTTATTATCCTTCTCATCTTTCCTATTACCTATTTCCTTAGCTTCTTATGACTATACCTTTGTTGTTTGTATTTCAAGATTTATGTTGATTTATGCTTTTATTTAGTATCCTATTATGATTTATGTTGATTGCTTATTTAGTATTCTATGACTATCACTGAGTGTTGTATCTTATGATTTATGATGCATGTATTTTATGATTATGATCACGATTTATCACTTGTTGCTTGTTATGTAGACTGTGAGCTTATGCACTGGAGACAAATTCCTTGTGTGTCAAATCACACTTGGCCAATAAAGAATTCTATTCTATTCTATTCTATTCTATTCTATTCTATTCTATTCTATTCTATTCTATTCTATTCTATTCTATTCTATTCCATTCCATTCCATTCTATTCTATACTCATTATTGAATATGATCATGATTTATCACTTGTTGCTTGTGTGTAGACTGAGAGCTTCTGTAGTGGAGACAAATTCCTTGTGTGTTAAATCACAATTGGGCAATAAAGAATTCCATTCCATCCTTATTCTATTCTATTCTATTCTATTCTATTCTATTCTATTCTATTCTGTTCTGTTCTGTTCTGTTCCGTTCCGTTCCGTTCTATTCTTATTACTGAATATGATCATGATTTATCACTTGTTGCTTGTGTGCAGACTGAGAGCTTCTGTAGTGGAGACAAATTCCTTGTGTGTCAAATCACAACTGGGCAATAAAGAATTCCATTCCATTCCATCATTATTCTATTCTATTCTATTCTATTCTATTCTGTTCTGTTCTGTTCTGTTCTGTTCAAAACTTGTGGACTTGAACTCCCACTCTAATTTTCTTTCCTGAGATATCCATCTGCTTGGACGAAAGTCTTCAAACTTTTCGGATTTAGCAATGGAACTCATTCCATGTGGAACTCAGCATCTGCTTATAATTTGCAAAAAAAAAATTCAGCCCTTCTTAGAATCTCTCTACTTCACAAACACACTTCCATTCTTCTGGCCGCAATCCCAACAAATCAGCAGCATAAGAACGTTTAGCACTACAATTTTGCAAGAGGCCAAAACAACTGCAGGAAGACCAAGACTCTCATTTTAAGAATAGGCGTTGCAAAGTCAGGATTAAAACAAATATATAAGGGAGAGCTCCCCCTGTCAACTTCTTCCCAAATCCAATTTAAATCATTCTCCCCAAGCTTAATCTATATCCATAATTATATCATTTGGTACAACAAGCTTGTGAGCCGTTTCCCACAATTTATGTAGATTAAAATTCATGGGTGCGATACTACCGATTTTGTATTATGAAGATTGATTAGGACAGCTGATGCAGTGATTAAGGGAGTGTGCATTTACTGTTGCAATTAATTAGGCATTCAGACACAACAATAACTACAATAACTGAAGCAATGCGCTGAGCTGGCATTCTTCTGGGCTCCTTTGACAAGGATTCTGGCTTGATGGAAGGGCCGTAAAAAGGGAACACAGAACATAGAATAATAGAGTTGGAAGGGACCTTGGAGGTCTTCTAGTCCAACCCCCTGCTTGATCAGGAGGCCCAGTACCATTTCAGACAAATGGTTGTTCAGTCTCTTTTTGAAAGCCTCTAGTGATGGAGCACCCACAACTTCTGACAGCTGTGACAATTTTCCTGAGAGTTAGAACAATTAACCAGTGGAACAACCTGCCTCCAGAAGTTGTGAATGCTCCAACACTGGAGGTTTTTAAGAAGAGATTGGACAACCATTTGACTGAAAAGGTTTAGGGTTTCCTGCCTGGGCAGGGGGTTGGATTAGAAGACCTCCAAGGTCCCTTCCAACTCTGTTATTTTGTTAATTAATCAGTGGAACTGCTTGCCTCCAGAAGTAAGGCTATATTGCTATTGTCCTTCTCATTTTTCCTATTACCTATCTCCTTATCTTCTTATGACTATAACTTTGTTGCTTGTATCTTATGATTTATATTAATTATTTCATTTAGTATCCTAGTATGATTTATGTTGATTGCTTTTTTAATATCCTATGACTATCACTGAGTGTTGTATCTTATGATTTATGATGAATGTATTTTATGATGATTATGATTGCGATTTATCACTTGTTGCTTGTATGTAGACTGTGAGCTTCTGTAGCAGAGACAAATTCCTTGTGTGTCAAATCACACTTGGCCAATAAAGAATTCCATTCCATTCCATTCCATTCCATTCCATCCCATCATTATTCTATTCTATTCTATTCTATTCTATTCTATTCTATTCTATTCTATTCTATTCTATTCTATTCTATTCTATTCTATTCTATTTTATTCCATTCCATATTTTCTATTCCATATTTTCTATTCTTTTCTGTTCTGCTCTGCTCTTCTCCGCTCCGTTCCATATATTCTATTCTGTTCTGTTCCGGTCTATTCTATTCTATTCTATTCTATTCTATTCTATTCTATTCTATTCTATTCTATTCTATTCTTTTCTATTCTGCTCTGCTCTTCTCCGCTCCGTTCCATATATTCTATTCTATTCTATTCTATTCTATTCTATTCTATTCTATTCTATTCTATTCTATTCTATTCTATTCTATTCTATTCTATTCTATTCTATTCTATAGTTATCATTGAATATGATCATGATTTATCACTCATTGCTTGTGTGTAGACCGAGAGCTTCTGCACAGGAGACAAATTCCTTGTATGTTCAATCATACTTGGCCAAGAAAATATAAAGAATTATATTAAGGTATTACAGAGTCATAAAAGGGAGATTGGTTTTTTTTGTTTGTTTGTTTTTAGTGAACCCAAGTAGTGGAGTTATCTTACAATACTTATGGCGGTTCTGCTGCAGTGTTTCTCCATCTTGCTTATTCGAAGATCAGTGGACTTCAACTCCCAGAATTCCCCAGCCAGCAAAGCCTAAGCAAGAGGTCCCAATGTCTCCATTTTGTCCTACCTGGGTAAGGATGGATGCCATTGGCAAAGACGGCTTCTGCTGCAGGTTGCCCATTCGGTTGTGGCGGGAGACCAGTGAAACCATTCACCCCAATGGGGGAGGGGATGCTAGGCACGGCTGGTGCGGTGATGCCTGGAGGCGTGCTGCCACCTAGAGGTCGGGAGGGGAAAGGCAGAGCGTCAATCAATTGCATTCATTGGTTGAGTATATAGAGCAGTGGTGGCGAACCTATGGCACGGGTGCCAGAGGCGGCACTCAGAGCCCTCTCTGTGGGCACCCACACTGTTGCCCCAGTCCTAGGCCTTCAGCTGGGTTTTATAAAACCTTTTCACTTTAGGCCTCCGCTGCCATGTGCAGGAGGAGGCCTCTGAGGCCTAGAACAGCTCACAGGAAGTACATGGATGTCACTTCCGGAAGTCCATTCTAGGCATCGGAGGCCCAGGCCTGCATCCATGTAGGGAACCGATGAGCCGAGGTGGCGCAGCAGTTAGAGTGCAGTACTGCAGGCCACTTTAGCTGACTGTGTTCAGCAGGTCAGCGGTTCAAATCTCACTGGCTCAGGGTTGACTCAGCCTTCCATCCTTCCGGGGTAGGTAAAATGAGGACCCAGATTATTGGGGGCAATGTAAATATATATATACATTGCTTACTGGTGTACACCACTTAGAGCAGCGGTTCTCAACCTGTGGGTCAGGACCCCATTTGGGGTCGAACAACCATTTCACGGGGGTCGCCAAACAACGCAGTCCGCCATGTTTTTCCCCTTTTTCCTTAGCTGTGCTACTCCCTTTTATTCTATTGGCTTTTGAAAGCCAATAGAATAGACTCTCTTGAAAAGAGTCTAATTCTATTGGCTTTCAAAAGCCAATAGGAATTGTCCAGGCTGTCTCTGCCCTGCTGAGCCTGCCAAAAGTCCCATTCTGCAAAGGGTGCTGCACCAGTTGAGGAGTCCTCGACTTACGACCGGTTGAGGGGTCGCGGCATTCAAAAGGTTGAGAACCACTGGCTTAGAGTGTGCTTGCACTTAAAGCGGTATATAAGTCTCATAAATAAATAAATAAATAAACCGGAAGTTCAGGTATTTGAATCCCACCACTGGACATAAGTGTGAATAAGAGTCCCTCAAGTCACTTTTTTGAGTGCCATCGTCACCTTGAACGGTCACTAAACGAATGGTTGTAAGCCAAGGACTACCTGCTTTAAAAGCGTTTGGTGCTGCTGATGGGCCTCCGGTGCTCTTCCAATGCTTACCTGAGGTGGGGGTCATGGGGGTGGCCGCCAGCCCGTTCATGTTGAGGGCGGCCATCTGCTGCATCTGGGCTGCTGCGAAGGCCGCCATAGGGTTTAGGTAGCCGCCTTGCGCCACGGAGGCCATGATGGCAGCCTGTTGCTGCATCAGCTGGAACAAAGAGAACAGGGAAAAAATATCACGCATTCACTGGCAGAGCAGCAGCGGGGGCGGGGCGGGGGAGGACAGCACCTGGCCTCTTGCCAGAACTGGGGTGGATGTTCAAAACTCTTGCTTTTGAACCCAGCCTCAAAGGGCCCCTTGGAGAAGGAGGAGGAGGAGGAGGAGAAGGAGAAGGAAGGAGAGGAAACAGTAGCAGAGGAGGAAGAAGAAGGAGAAGAAACAGGAGAGGGAGAAGCAGGAGGAGAAGGAAGAAGAGAAGAAAAGGAGGAGGAGGAGAGGAGAGAGAGGAGAAGGATATGTAGGAGAAGGATAAGCAGCAGCAGGAGGAAGAGAAAGGAAGGAGGAGGAGGAGGAGGAGAAGGGAGAGGAGAAGGATAGTTAGAAGGAGAAGCAGGAGAAGAAGAGGTAGAGGAAGAGGAGGAAGAGGAAGAGGAGGAAGAGGAGGGAGAGAAGGAGGAGGAGGAAGAGGAGGAGAAGAGAGAGGAAGATAGGTAGGAGAAGCAGGAGAAGAAGGAAGGTAGAGGAAGAGGAAGATGAGGAAGAGGAGGAGGAGGAGAAAGGAGGAGGAGGAGGAAGAGGAGGAAAAGGAGGAGAAGAGAGAGAAGAATGATAGGTAGAAGGAGAAGCAGGAGAAGGAGAAGGAAGAAGAGGTAGAGGAAGAGGAGGAAGAGGAAGATGAAGAGGAGGAAAAGGAGGAGAGGAAGCAGGAGGAGGAGAAGGAGAAAGAGAAAGAGAAGAAGGAGGAGGAGGAAAAGAGAAGAGAATGATAGGTAGAAGGAGAAGCAGGAGAAGGAAGAAGAGGTAGAGTGAGACCAGGAAGATGAGGAAAATGAGAAGGAGAAGGAGAGGAAGCAGGAGGAAGAGAAGCAGGAGGAGGTGGAAGAGGAGAAGGATATGTAGGAGAAGAAGAACCAGGAGATGGAGAGGGAGGAGGAAGAGTGGAAAAGGAGAAGGAGAGGAAAGCAGTAGTGGTGGTGGAGGAGGAGGAGGAGGAGGAGGAGGAAGAGGAGAAGGAGAAGAAGGAGAGGGGTAAGAGGTGGAGAAAAAGGAGATAATTTTCTGGGATGATTCCCCAAATTGTGGCCCAAATAAAAAGTAGACTTGAGTTCTGGTCTTTGCAATAGTTGTGCAGTTGTGTGAGAAGAGAGGCTGTAGAATGTAGGGTGTTGCTCTCTGTTTCGAGACAAGGGCCTTGCCCTGGCAGTGTTGATGGGATTGTTCTTGGTGGTTCCTGGATCACCCACCACTAGTATATAAACAAGCCCCCATTTTGTAAACAAAGAACAAACCGGGAGTTTGAGGTAAGCAGGTGTATAAACCGAATAACCGAAATGAATAATCGAACTGATCCATGTCACACGGATTCCTTTGCCAAAAAAAAAGCGGGTTTCTGTCGCTGCTTTATTACGGTGACCAACCGTCCTCCTTTAGGGAGAACAGTCCTCCTTTTGTGAGTTCTGTCCTCCCTCGAAGTGTCCTCCTACATGTCCTCCTTTTCGATATTTGAAAACTAATCTGCAGGGCTTTTTTTTCCCTCATAAAACGCTCAGAACAGCATTCCGGCACCTTTTTTTGGATGGTTTTTTTTCAACTTTTGCATGAGCTGTGCTACTCCTACTATTGGCTTTCGAATTGCTGCTGAGCGCGCCAAAACACCCGGCCGGCAAACTTTGCACATGCAAGTTGTCTGTATTATTGTTGCAATGAATAAAATGTTTCTTTTATTTACGATATTTTTTTCTTCAATTTATTTGTCTCCTCCTTTTCATTGTAAAAAAGTTGGTCACTTTAGCTTTATGTCTGCCGTAAACTTCTGCTCTAGTTCTGCAGGTTTATCCTTCTGTCTTGAAAGAAGGATGCGGAGCTACATACGGTCCCTGTCTGGTGTTTTTTGTTTTATTCTTCTTACAGTCCCTGCTGGCAAAACTCAACGTTTCCCCAACTTTTCTGGCTGGATAGAAAAAGCAACGCTCAGTTTCCTGTCGTAAGTATGCCTCGTGACGGCGCCCCCTTGTGGCGGATCCCGACTCAGAAAGCTGCGACTGTACGCCGACTCTGTGTGAGAGCAGACGCGCGATGGGCGCGTGTCTCGGGGTGGGAGTGGATCTTCATTAGAAGCGTGGATCTCAGGGGCTCGGATTCCCTACGGAGGCTTGGGAAGGGGGACTTAGCCAGTCGTCAGGCAGATCCATAATGGGGCTGCGATCAGATTTGGGGGTGGGAAACCGGCTTGCTGAGTGCGCCCATCCTAGCGAGGGTCCATCCTTTGCTTTGGGTTTTATTTAAATGGGGTCTTATTTAAATTAAATTAAAGGCTTTTCCTCTCTGTGTCCTCCTTCCTTCCTTCTTTCTTTTCCTCCCCCCTCCCTCCTTTCTCTTTCTCTTTCCTTCCTTCCTTTCCTTCCTCCCTCCCTCCCTCCCTTCTTTCTCTTTCTCATTCTCTCTTTCTCCTCCCTCCCTCCCTTCTCTTTCTCTGCTTTCTCTTTCTCTTCTTCCTTTCCTTCCTCCCTTCTCTTTCTCATTCTCTTTCTCCTTCCTTCCTTCCTCCTCTTTCTCTTTCTCATTCTCTCTTTTTTCCTTCCTTTCCTTCCTTCCTCCCTCCCTCCCTCCTCTTTCTCTTTCTCTTTCTCTTTCCTTCCTTCCTCCCTCTCTCCCTCCACTCCTCCCTCTCTCTTTCTCTCTCCCTCCCTCCACTCCTTCCTTCGTCTCTCTCTCTCCACTCCTTCCTTCCTTCGTCCCTCCCCCCTCTCTTTTCCCCCCCTCTTCCCCCCCCCTCCCTCTGTTTCTATCAGGGCGTTAAGGTGTCCATCTCAGCCCTGGGAAGCCAACATTTCAGTCGCTCTTGCTGAAGACGGTGACTTCTCTGTCTGACCCAACCTTTGCCCCCCCCAACAGGTTAGAAGAACCAGAAAGTGCTCCTTTTAACGGGGATGGCAGCCCTGCCAGGATACGCGTTTTTTCTAAAAATTAAAGTTTACTTTTTTGCCCTTTCAGAATTATGATGTTGTCCTCATCTGCAAATGTATGCAGGCTTAATGTGCTCATTAATAACTTATTTGCCCAAAACGCATGCAATTAATTAACTAAGATTTCTTTAGCCGAATGACAATTTGAAAGAGGGAGGGAGAGCAGGCCTCAAGGGAGCCAAAAGGAAGGGGGCTTTCTGCAAACGTCCCGGTCAGCTGAGAGGATCTGCAGGGCCTCCCAGCCCTTGACCCTCATTTCATGGGAGGGGAGAGATGGGGAAGTGGGGGGGGGAAGGGCTGGAGCCGGGGCTTGTCCTGCCCCCCCCCGGCTCTTTTTGGTGGAAACATTGTCCTCATATTGTCTGGTTCTCTATTCATGGAGATCATCCAAAATGTTAATATTGGAAAGAATTACTTCCTTCCCCCTCCCTCTCTTGAGTGACCTTCTTTTCTTTCTTTCCTTCCTTCCTTCCTTCCACCTTCCTCCCTTTTTTTCTTCCTTCCTTCCTCCCTCCCTCCCTCTCTTCCTCCCTCCTCCCTCCCATCTTGCCTTCCTTCCTTCCTTCCTTCTCCTCATTCCCACCTCCTCCCTCCCTCCCTTCCCTCCCACCCTTCTTTTTACTTCCTCCCTCCCTTCCTCTTTCCTCCATGCCTTCCTTCCCCTCTCCCTTCCTCTTTCCTTCCCTTCCCTTCCCTTCCTTCCTTCCTTCCTCCCTCCCTGCCTCCCTCCCTCCCTCCTTCCTTCCTCCCCATCACCTTCCTCCTTCCCTTCCTTCCTTCCTTCCTTCCTTCCTTCCTTCCTTCCTTCCTTCCTTCCTTCCTTCTCATTCCCATCTCCTCCATCCTTCTCTCTCTCTCTTCCTTCCTTCCTTTCCTTCCTTCCTCCCTCCCTTCCTCTTTCCTCCATGCCTTCCTTCCCCTCTCCCTTCCTCTTTCCTTCCCTTCCCTTCCTTCCTCCCTCCCTGCCTCCCTCCCTCCCTCCTTCCTTCCTCCCCATCACCTTCCTCCTTCCCTTCCCTTCCTTCCCTTCCTTCCTTCCTTCCTTCCTTCCTTCTCATTCCCATCTCCTCCATCCTTCTCTCTCTCTCTCCCTTCCTTCCTTTCCTTCCTCCCTCCCTCCCTTCCTCTTTCCTTCCTTCCCTTCTTTCCTCCCTCCCTCCCTCCCTCCCTCTTTCCTTCCCTTCCTTCCTCCCTGACTCCCTCCCTCCTTCCTTCCTCCCCATCACCATCCTTCTTCTCCTCATTCCCAACTCCTTCCTTCCTTCCTTCCTTCCTTCCTTCCTTCCTTCCTTCCTTCCTTCCTTCCTTCCTTCCTTTCTTCCTTGCACGAGAGCTCCTTAGATGTGTTTGAAATGCAGGCCAGAAAGATGGAATGAACAGGACCTTCCAGGATCTCTGGCTGTGGAGGTGGAAGCTTTCCTTTTGGATCCTTAATTCCTCTTTCTTCCTACAGGCCCACCAAGACACTTTCACATTTTAATTGGCAATTCAGTGTTTCTTTGTAATTGCTGATGGGGTGATTAGAAGTCCTTTTCTGTGCCTGCACAATGGCATCCTTTGCTTCTGCTTTTGAAAGGTCCCTCCTGTTCATCTGGCATTCAGGGACAGGATGGTCCAGAGTGATGAGCAGATGGATTTATAAAACTCACCAATGAGAACTAATGGGTGCTGGCAGTGGGGAGGGGCTAGGAGGGGAGGAGAGGAAACGCTTTGGTATTTTTTGAGACAGAGGCTAGGAGGGTCACTGTGCATCGGAAACCTGATGGGACCCTTGTGTGGGGGGGCATACAAGGGCATGCTTGAGCAGGGGGTTGGACTAGAAGACCTCCAAGGTCCCCTCCACCTCTGTTGTTCTGTTGTTCTGTTCTTCTGAATTCTGTTATTCTGTATAAGGTTTTCTGCTTGAGCAGGGGGTTGGACTAGAAGACCTCCAAGGTCCTTTCCAACTCTATTATTATGTTATTGTGTTATTATATTATTCTGTTATTCTGCTCTTCTGCTACTCTGTTGTTCTGCATAGGGTCTCCTGCTTGAGCATGGGGTTGGACTAGAAGACCTCCAAGGTCCCTTCTGACTCTATTATTGTGTTACTCTCTTATTCTGCTATTCTGTATAGGGTCTCCTGCTTGAGCATGGGGTTGGACTAGAAGACCTTCAAGATCCCTTCCAATTCTGCTATTCTGCTATTCTGTTATTCTGAAATCTATTGTCTTTGGTTGACATCATTTCTGGTGGCAATTTCACCAGCTAGATCTAAACACGAGGTCTAGAGGGAGGATTTGGATGCCTTGGGGGCTGATGGGCTTATTTGGGATTTTTTTTAATGGCTCCTGGTCGTTCCCACCACATGGAATTATAGAGCGAAGACTTGCAGCTACAGTACAGGAAGTCCTCAACCTACGACCCCCCAATGATCCTAAAATTTCCGTGGTTAAGTGAGACACTTGTTGAGTGAGCTTTGCCCCATTTTGTGACTTCGTTGCCACGGTTGTTAAGTGAAACCCAGCTTCCCCCATGGACTTTGCTTGTCAGAAGTTTGCAAAAAGGGGATCACGTGACCCCCCTGGACACGGCGACCACCCTAAATATAAACCGGCGGCCAAGTGTCTGAATTTTGATCATGTGACCACGGTCAGGCTGCAACGGTCGGAAATGTGAAAAATGGTCATAAGTCCAACTACCTCAAGATGGAAAAATAGAGAGACGATTTGTTAGTCCTCTCAAAAAAATGGCGACCAGATGGCTTTTTCTACCTCAAACAATCTCCATAGCAACACAGGGAGATTTATTTGATGACTCAAAAGCATGGACATGGAAGACAACTTGGCAAAGAAAGAAAGCCAGAATAAGACTGAAGAAAATTGGGGTTTTGACTTATTAGTGAGAATTAAAACAGAACATACTTAAATAGATAAGATGTGTACTTTGAATACTAGATGTTGTTATGAGTTGAGATAAAGGAAACTTGGGTCATTTAAAACTTGAAAGTACAAATATTAACAGTTAAATCTGAACATTGATTTGCTTCTAAAGGTTAAATGTAAGCTAAAAAATCTATTGATGAATGTAATAAATATGTTTTTACTTAGCGGTAATAATAAAAACTACTAGCTTAAATATGAGATAGTAGACAAGAGAGGAAGTATTAAATGTTGAAATAAGAGAAATTTTGGTTACTAAATTTAAGATATTTGGAAATTATCAGAAAATAAGAATGTTATATTGTATTATTAATTACTTGATGTAAGATGGTGAGAATTCAAATAGATAAGACGTGTATCCTGAACATTAGATCTTGTGATGAATTGTGATAGAGGGAATTGGGGTTATTTAAAACTTGAAAATTATAAATACCAAACCTTAAATTTAAATATTAATGAGAAACTAAAAATTGCGAAAAACTAAATCAGGACATTAATTGTCTAAAAAGATTGAATGTTAAAACAACTAGGATCTGTATAAACAAAAATGACTGGTAAATGTAAGAAAGTTATTTTTATGTAATCTATATAATAAGAATGGTGTTAATTTAAATATGTAACAGTAAATGGTAAGGGGAAAAGAGAGGAAACATTTAATGTAATAGTTTGAGATCTGTACTAAAGAGATTCATATGTTATTGAATTATTGACCAACTCAGCCTCCACGTTGCTTTTCAAATATTTAAATGTGAAATTAGAAAATCAATCTTTTTTTTTCAACCCCCCCCCCCCAAAAAAAAAACACTGGACCGCAACAGCAAGAATAAATATATTTGCAGGCTGGAGAAAGAAAGCTGGTGAACATTTAAAATCAAACTCCAGAGAGCAATCTGAGAGAATAAATCATTTCATTCATTTATAAACCATATCTATGATGGCCGCAGGGTGCTGGGGTCACCTGACCCCCTTCTGCAAACTTCTGACAAACAAAATCAACGGGGGAAGCCTGATGCGCTTAAGAACCCGTGTTCCCTATTTGACAACTGCAGTGATTCTCTTCACAACTCTGGCAAGGAAGTTGATAAAATGGGGCAAAATGAACTAAACAACTGTCTCATTTAGCAACATAAATCTGGGGCTCAGTTGTGGTCGTAAATCAAGGACTACCTGTGGTTCATGGAATCCCTTCCGATGTCTATGAAGATTCTCCATCATCCAAGTCACGGTGGTCCCAAAGGTGCTTTTTTTCAGGAGGCAAAACTTCCTTGTTTTCCTTTGAAGACGTTTCACTTCTCATCCAAGAAGCTACTTCAGCTCTGACTGGAGGGTGGGGAAGGGAAGGATTTATACTCCTTGCAGACAGCTGGTCATTTGCCTTCTTTTAGACGGTCGTTGAGGCCACCTGGAGGTTTATCTGTGTCCTCAAGGTCACAAATGGAAGTGAAGGGACCCAGGGCATGAAACATCCTGCAGCCGAGAAGTCTCCACACCCATCTGCACCACTCAGGTGACCCCGAGGACAAAGATAAACCTCCAAGTGGCTTCAATGACTCTCTAAAAGAGCGCAAATGACCAGCTGTCTGCAAGGAGTATAAATCCTTCCATTCCCCACCATCCAGTCAGAGCTGAAGAAGCTTCTTGGATGAGAAGCAAAACGTCTTCAAAGGAAAACAAGGAAGTTTTCAATTCCTGAAAAAAAGCACCTTTGCGAATCCCTTCTGATCTTCAACCGTGGAGCCCACCCCTCGGAGCCCCCTTGTTGTGTAGACACTCACTGCCTGTGCGTACGCGCCGTATGCTCCAAACTGTATGGCCATGGGGTTGAACATGCCCATCTGACCCGCCATTTGCTGCATCCGGCGCATGGTGCGCTCCTTGTCCGTGTCGGCAAACTTGACCACCAGGCTGGACGATGCTCCCTGCGGGGAGGGAAAAAGAGAAAAGGAAGTGAGTCCAAGGAGGAAGCAAAAAAACAAAAACAAAACCCCAACATCACAAAAAGGTCTACTGTGGATTGTAGAACGTATATAGAATAACAGAGTTGGAAGGGAGCCTGGAGGTCATCTAGCCCAACCCCCTGCCCGAGCAGGAAACCCTGTACGATTTCCGACAAAGGGCAGTCCAGTCTCTTCTTCAAAGCCTCCAGGGATGAAGCACTCACAACTTTTTTTAAAAGTTTGTTTAATTAATAAAACAGTTAAAACAAAAAAGGACATAACTTGTGGTTCCACTATATATAATCTTAACAATTTGTTCCTTGCCATACATATAATTCCTAATCTCTATATATACATGTTTTCCTATATAATACTATCCAGCCAGAATAGCCTATATAATACTATCCAGCCAGCCTATATTTTTCTATCCAGCCAGAAAAGTTGGGGAAATGTTGAGTTTTGCCAGCAGGGACTGTAAGAAGAATAAAACAAAAAACACCAGACAGGGACCTTCCTTCGAGACAGAAGAATAAACCTGCAGAACTAGAGCAAAAGTTTACGGCAGACATAAAGCTAAGGTGACCAACTTTTTTACAATGAAAAGGAGGACACAAATAAATTGAAGAAAAAAATATCGTAAATAAAAGAAACATTTTATTCATTGCAACAATAACACAGACAACTTGCATGTGCAAAGTTTGCCGGCCGGGTGTTATGGCGCGCTCAGCAGCAATTCCTATTGGCTTTCGAAAGCCAATAGGGGGAGTAGCACAGCTCATGCAAAAGTTGAAAAAAAACCATCAAAAAAAGGTGCCGGAATGCCGTTCTGAGCGTTTTATGAGAAAAAAAAAGCCCTGCAGATTAGTCTTCAAATATCGAAAAGGAGGACATGTAGGAGGACACTTTTTGAGGGAGGACAGAACTTACAAAAGGAGGATTGTCCTCCCTAAAGGAGGACAGTTGGTCACCTTAATAATACAGTCTCAAATTTGTTTCTCTATATACTAGCATACAGTTTTATATACCACAATCTTAACACTAATTTAAAGTCCGAGCAGTTCTCCTTGACTCATACCAGCAATAACATTTGTCCCAGATTTCAAAATAGTCCGTTTCTGTCTTGTCCTTTACTTCCATAGTAAGCCTATCCATATCGGCACACGATAAGATTTTATATAGAGCAGTGGTTCTCAACCTTTCTAATGCCGTGACCCCATAATACAGTTCCCCATGTTGTGGTGACCCCCAAGTGGGTGTGGCCACCAATAAGAGGGAGTAGGACAGCTAGGGAAAAGGGAACAAAATGGTGGACAGCATGGTTTGGCGACCCCCATGAAATGGTCGTTCGACCCCAAATGGGGTCCCGACCCACAGGTTGAGAACCACTGATATAGAGAATCTCTTCTTCTGTTGGAATTTCTTTATTTCTCCCGTTTTGTGCGTAGGCCAGTCTGGCAGCCGTGAAAATATGTAACATTAAATAAAGTGCCCTTTTATCGTATTTCTGCGTGGTTCTGGTTTTAAGCTCTACCTCTGTCATTAGTATTTCTTCCAGCCATTTTTTAACCCCAAAAGTCACGGGCATTCGGGCACTCCCACTACATATGATAATATGTCCCTCTTGCCAAATTACATTTTCAGCACATAGGGGAAATCTTTGGGCCCATTTTAGCTAGTCTTACGGGTGGGAGATGCCATCTATAAAACATTTTGTAAAGGTTTTCTTTGTAAGATGTGGCCGAGGTGAGCTTCCTATTTCGGAAGCACTCACCACTTTTGAAGGCATGCTGTTCCATCGGTTGATGGTTCTTCTTGTCAGACAATTTCTCCTTCTTTCTAGGTTGAATCTCTCCTTGATCAGTTTCCATCTGTTATTCCAGTGGTTCTCAACCTGTGGGTCGGGACCCCATTTGGGGTCGAACGACCATTTCACAGGGGTCGCCAAACAACGCAGTCCGCCATTTTTTTCCCCCTTTTCCTTAGCTGTGCTACTCCCTTTTATTCTATTGGCTTTTGAAAGCCAATAGAATAGACTCTCTTGAATAGAGTCTAATTCTATTGGCTTTCAAAAGCCAATAGGAATTGTCCAGGCTGTCTCTGCCCTGCTGAGCCCGCCAAAAGTCCCATTCTGCAAACGGTGCTGCACCAGTTGAGTAGTCCTCGACTTACGACCGGTTGAGTAGTCCTCAACTTACGACCGGTTGGGGGTCGCAGCATTAAAAAGGTTGAGAACCACTGTGTTATTCCTTGTATGGCCTGCAGGTGCTTTGGATAATAGGTTGAGCTCCCCCTCCTCTCTGTGACAACCCCTCAAATATTGGAAGACTGCTATCGTGTCTCCCCTGTTCCTTGTCTTCAGTCGTTAAAGATTGATTTTCTCTTGAAGATAACAAGGGCTCAGCTAAGAAACCTGCTTTCCTGCACAACAACCTGGCGAGATGAGTTGGGTTGAGAAAGAAACTTGAGGTACAGAAACGGTACAGGGTCTCCTGCCTGTTATTCTGCTATCGCCCTGCCCAAAACCCATGCCGTGTAGTAGGGAAGGAGCTGGTTTAGAAACAAGAAGACCCAAGTTCAATGTCACCCATGGAACTTCCTTGCCTGAAAAAGGAGGACAACCTGGATCCCCTTGTTTCTAAACCAGCTCCTTCCCTACTTCACGACAGGGGTTTTGGGCAGAAAGATAACAGAATAACAGAGTGGAAAGAAGAAGAAGAAGAAGGAGGAGGAGGAGGAGGAGGAGGAGGAGGAGAAGGAGGAGAAGATGATGATGATGATGATTGCTTTGGGTCCTTGGTGCTCTGTGAGCTTGGTTGTTTTCTTACAGACATTTCATGACCCAACTAGGTCAGGTCATCAGTGCTAGAAGCTAACAACAGCCTAATCAAGGCACCACCAAGAACATTCCCACCCACAAGCCATTTGTATATAAACAGAGTGCAAATTCCACTCCTTATAGCACTGATGATGTTACCTAGTTGGGTCATGAAACATCTGCCAGAAAACAACCATGCTCAGAAAGAGCACCATAGTTTAGGATCTAGAAATCAAAGTCAAAACCCATATTTATCCGGGGCCTTTCCTTGCCCAGATGAAGAATCAAAATGAACTCAAAACCCCTTCTCTTCTGTGACAGTAAATATGAGAAAAAATACACTGCAAGATTCTGATTAGTCCTGGTTTAGTTAGTGAGTTTAATAACAGAACAACAGAATAACAGAGCTGGAAGGGACCTTGGAGATCTTCTAGTCCAACCCCCTGTTCAAGCAGGAGAACCTATACCATCTCAGACAAGTTACTGTCCAGTCTCGTCTTAAAAATCTCCAATGATGGAGCACCCACAACCTCTAGAGGCAAACCATTCCACTGGTGAATTGTTCTCTTAGGAAATGTCTCCTTAATTCTGGGCTGGTTCTCTCCTTGATTAGTTTCCATCTGTTGCTTCTTGCCTTTCCCTTAGGTCAGGGGTAGGCAACCTTGGCTCTTTTATGATTCGTGGACTTCAACTCCCAGAATTCCTGAGCCAGCATGGCTCAGCTTGGAAACCTCTCCCTTTCCCTCAGCATGGCTGGCTCAAATTAGGGAGTTGAAGTCCACGGTCATAAAAGAGCCATAGTTGCCTACCCCTGCCTTAGGTGCTTTGAAAAACAGTTTGGCCCCCTCCTCTCCGTGACAGCCCCTCAGATATTGGAAGATGCCCCCAAGTCATCCCTAATTCTTCTCTTTGTTAGATTAGAGATACCCAATTCCTGCAACCGTTCAACCTCCAGCCCTCCAATCCTCTTTGTTGTTCTTCTCTGCACTCTTTCTAGAGTCTCAACACCTCTTTTTTTGTATCACAGTGACCAAAACTGGATGCAGTAGTCTAAGGGTGGTCTTAATATTAATAATTTTAAATTTAATAATATTAATAATGATCCTTGAGACTCGATAGGTGGATAGAAATGCCCAATCTAAACATCTGACCGACTGACAAGAATGATGATGATGATCCAGGACATGAGGAAAGAAAGAATCGAGATGCGAGCCGTTTTTTTCCCCCTCCAACCTTGTGTAACTGCACAATCCTTTTCTCTCCCCCCCCCCCCCCGCTGCATTAAAGCAACTTAGACGGCTGTTAATCTTATTTTCATTAAGTCCTGAAGCGGGGAGAATTCTCCAGAGGACCACAAGTCCCATTCCCAAGGAAAAGCAGAAATGTTGCTGAAGCCTCATTTTGTCTGAGGATTATTGGATGCTATCTCCAATGAGGGGCCTCTTCGACTAGGGCTGGAAGAGATCTTCCCCTCCTCAATATGGTCTAGAATTCCGCTGGGGCTGCCTTGAAGGATTTGGGGGGTAATCTGGCAGACTCGCCTTCTGGCTATTTGGTTTGATTCCAGTCAGGGCTCGCAAAAAGTGGAATTTTCAACAGCTCTTACTCATCGCATCCCACCGGGACCCATTTGGGTAACCTGCTCAATTTTTCCACTCCATTCTCAAATCTTCGGTCTTATCTCTGCTCTTGCCTGAAAGCTTTAACCTTCATTAGAATTTAGTGGCTTGGTTCAACATCCTAAACTCTAACTCCAAGTTAACAAAACATCCTGCTGAAACCAATGAACGACTGTTATAGCTTAAAGGGCTGGCCTTGTTTATGAAAAGTGTTAAAATAATGGATTCCTACAACACGCTGCTGCACAAACTTTAGAATTAGAGCTAGGAGGGAGTGGGGTTTATGGGGAGGAGGAGGAGGAATGGAGGGTCCTTGGTGCTCTCTGAGCTTGGTTGTTTTCTTGCAGACATTTCGTGACCCAACTAGGTAACATCATCAGTGCTAGAAGGGAGGGGGGTTTGCAGGGAGGAGGAGGAGGGAGGAGGAGGAGGAGGACTGGAGGGTCCTTGGTGCTCTCTGAGCTTGGTTGTTTTCTTGCAGACATTTCGTGACCCAACTAGGTAACATCATCAGTGCTAGAATGGAAGGGGGTTTGCTGTCTGTTCTTGGATGGTTACTATCTCAGTAAAGAACAACTCAATCAAGGACTTACCAAGAATATT